GGTGGGGTCAGGCGCCCCGTGGGAGGGGTCAGGCGCCTCGAACGACGCCCAGGTGTGGTCTGCGCTCACACATGCCCGGGGTTCGCCTGCACCCGCGCACAGCTGGACTCGCGTGCAGACGGGCATGCGTAGGTGTGTCCACGCATGCCTCCGCCACACACCTGCCAGCGTGCTACTCCCATGCACCAGCTCGGGGGCCTCCTGCCCTCCCGTCCTGCACTCGTGGGCTCCTGCACCCCGTCCCGGCACACACGCATGCACACACACGGGCGCCTGTGGGCATGAGCACCACCCACACCACCCTGGGTGGACAGAGCTGGGCGACACCCCTCAGCCAGAACACAGCAGGGGCCCAGGCGAAGTCCAGGGCTCCGGAAGCTGCCCAGAGGGGCACAGGACAGTGGCCTGGGCCTCGGGAGTGACCTGAGGGCAGGCGGGAAGTGGCTGTGACGCAGAGTGCGGGCGCCCCGCCCAGCCTGGCCGGACTGCACGCTCACGAGTTCCAGAACATGCCCAGAGCAGAGGGCACAAACACTCGACTCAGTCACTGTCGAATGAGCCGAGGGCACGGCCAGGGTGGGACAGGCCGAGCCAGGCCCAGTGGATACCCAGCAGCCCTGTGGACCCGGGCAGCCAAGGCTGCCGTGCACCCGGCCTGGCCGCCGCCCTAGTGGCCGACTCAATCACACCCAGTGTTTCCGGTGGTCCTGGTCACCGGCGGTGGCCCAGCGGCCGCCCTGGCAGCCCCGTGCTCCCCCCAGGCTCAAGCCCACCTCCCCCTCCGTGGGGCCTGTGGGCGGCACCCCCGGGCGCAGCTCCCAGGCAGGGCCGTTGCCACGCCAGGGCTGCCGCTGGGCAGACACCGCGGGATGCCGATGCCAGAGGGGCGGCCGGCGTTCAGCCAGCCTGAGGCCCAGCGAGAGTGGGCAAGGCTGCAGGCGAGAGGCCCCGAGCAGCGGACAGGGCTCTGGCCGCCGCCTCCCTGCCAGCGCCCGGCCTCGTCCTGAGTGCGCAGAGCAAGACCAGGTGCTCTCCGTGGAAACGCCCTGTGTCGGGAAGGCGGGGGGCGTGCGGCCGCCTGCACACGGCCAGCGACACCCGGGCCGGCAGGCCTGGGGCGCCCGCGGAGGCTGGGAAGGCCTCTCGGCGGGGCGCACCGTCCGCAGCGCCTCAATTTTCCCAGGATTCTCACTGAGACATGCAGGGAGGTCCGGCCAGCATGGCCAGGAGGGAGTGGCTGGGCGCGTGTCCTCTCAAGCTGCCCGCCCAGCCCTGCTGACGGGTGCCCAGTGGGCTGGCTGCTGGCCAGCCAGGAACACGCAGCAGAAACCTCGGGGGCAGCGGCCGCAGGAAGCCCAGGGCGTGCCCCTCTACGGGCGACGATTCTCTGGGGCGTCATCTCTCAGCTTCAGCCACTGCCTCAGCCAGCCCAGCCCAGACCTGCCCTCGAGGCCTGTGGGAGCTGGTCTCACAGCCTCTGGGCACTGCCAGCAAGGGAGCTCAGCGCCAGGCTGCCTGAGGCCCACCCAGAAACCCCTACGCCAGCCGGAAGCCGCCCAGCAGCGGCTGGTGGGCAGGTCCTGATGAGCAGGGGCCAGTGTGACGGGCACCCGCCCCAGCTCAGTGTCCTGCCTCAGCCTGGGGCGCCCCCGGCTGCCTCCCAAGGGGCGGGCCCAGCAGAGCCACCTGCGGCAGAGCCCAGGACGCAGGCTGTGGCCGGACCAGTCCAGCCTCCCCACCACGCCAGCCCAGATGCCCCTGACACAGGACACGGGTGGCTCCCACAGCTGGCCTGGGGTGCTGCAGGGGGCCCACTGGTCTGCCCAACCCAGGCCCCACACAGCGCCGCTGGAGGACCCAGAGAGGCCTGAAGAACTGGCCGAGGTCAGGACCCGCCCCGGCTCCGGCCCAGCAATTCACACTGGGCCAGATGCTGCCCCCGCTGGGGACGAAGAGGCAGGGCCAGGGGCCGGAGAGGCGGGCAGGCGCTCCCTGGAGGGCCGGCTGCCCCCACCCCCTGCTCTGAAGAGAACAGGAGGCCCACCCAGCAGGACCCAGTGGTGAGCCCAGAGAGGCTGTGCCTGCCGGGGCCAGGCTACCCCCATGAGCCATGGAGGGCAGCTGGAGCCCAACACCCCCGCCCACGAGGAGAGGCCAGGCCGGGGCCGCCAGGGGGCCAGAGAAGAGGCAGCGGCGCCAGCCCCCAGAGCCAGCCGGGCCCTGAGCGGCCACCTCCTCGCCCTGCTGGCCCTGCTCCTCCCACCCCCCCTCCCTGCAGACAGCCCACACCTGCCCAGCAGCCACGTCTCTGGCCAGCCATGCTGACGCTGGCGGTGCCCAGCTTCCACAGCCGGCGCCGGACAGGCCCTCGAGCTCTCGCGCCAGCCTGCCTGCCTGAAGCTGCCCGGGCGCCCCGGGCAGCAGCTCCTGGGGGGGGACCCCCCATCTGCCCAGGACCCCGCCCTGGGCTCCAGCCTTGTCCTCAGCACGAGGAGTGCAGAGACCCCTTGGCCCCGCCCCCGCACCCCCTGG